TTCAAACACATTTCCATTCTTGCCTTCAGGCTCCTGTGTCTTTCACGTGGGCATGTATGGAGGCAACACACACATGAGAGGGAGGGACTCTGCAGAGCCACAAGGAGCTGTGCTCAACACCCAGCTTCATCACCAAAAAGGAGTAAAACAAAAGGAGTAAAACACCTAGCCTTCTTGGGAGTCAATATCTTCCTCTGTATAATAATGTTGATCTATCTCCACTACCACACCTAATATCCTCAAAACTGAGGGGTGAGTAACACACAGGACTTTCTCCTTTGTGCACAAAGCTGCTCTGCTAATCTTACTGTGAAGGCAAACATCTCCACAGCACAGCAAAATGAGGGGACAGTGGTCCCCTTCCAGCTCTCACCCGTGATGCACACTGTGAAATCATCTCCACAGGACACCTGGCGAATGGCTTTTCCCTGAAGCTTCTCAACATGCTTTGGCTGCCGGTAGGAGGCTCTGTCTCCATGTCCCAGCTGCCCGTGCAACTTGGTGCCTCCCTGCATATTCTGCAAGACAGAAACATCTGGTAAGGTTACGTATCCACAACTCCAGAGATGGTCCCAATAGTTACAGCACCTCAAACGAACAACAGAAGACAGCAAAGAGCAAGGGAAAGCGTGTTAGCTACTCCAGGGAAGAGACTGCTGTCTATGTGGCATAACAGCAGGCAACATTCTAAATGGCAGCACAGGCTTTCAGGCAGTTCTGCACCAATGAGGAGTGATCCGGTCTCAGGCCACCAGCTGGTGAGGAATGCCTGCTCCTTTCTCATCTGCCAGGCTACAGAACCCGCTCCCTGCTGCAGGACTGAAATTCACCCTTCAGCTTTTTGACCTACTTTTCTAAATCCTAACAGCTGCAAAGAAACTTGTAACATGAAACAAATGTCACTGAAGTGGCCAGACCTACCAATTCTACACAAAAAACAAAACAACTCTGAGTAGTGTTGAAGCTAAAACTAAAATATTAATAGCCAGCTGGAAGTTTTCAGTAGCCATTCTTGCAGGAACATCCAGCAAATTACTTCAAGTTGCTCTCCTCCTGGGTGGATCTCTTTCTTCTCTCACCCACCTACCAGTATTTTCTAATCTGTCTGAAGAGATTCTGTACCATCAATACAAATGCCTGTGGAAGCCTGGAGATGCAGAATACCTCCACATCACTGACCATCTAAGTCTGAGAAGACTGGACTCAACTGTTTTAAATGCATTATATGCCAACATTTTTTATTCACTTTAAACTATTGCAGAATTTGCACTCATCACAAAAAGCAGAGCTGCTTAGTACAAGACATCTCTGGTTTCATCCACAAGTTGCATCACAGATGACACCTGTATTACAACAAGGTAACACAAGGTATTACAACAACTCATCCCACCCATTCTGATCTCGGAAAACCGTCCTCAAAAATGCACAAAGCAAGCAGACTATCACAAAGCCTCCAGTGCATTTCTAGTAGTTAGGAAAGGGAACAAGAGATGTTTGACTCGGTGTCTGGGCCGACAAGTCCATCACCTACAACCCTCAAGCACACAGCAAGTCTCCAATGCACTTCCTGGCATAATGGAAAAATTCTCCCAAAAACACACCGGCCTTGAGAGACTTGGGTCAGCCCCGAAGCACGTGGCCTCACAGTGTCCACTGCAATCAGATTTCTCTCTTTCCAAGCTGCTCGTCCATAGGATTCTAACAGACTCATGAATGGTCAGCAGTGGATCTGGACTCTCCTCTCCCACCCTCACCCCCTTCCTGAAGTTTCTCTCACTTACCACCCAGGTGTAGAGCTCCTTCTCCACTGTCACCACAGCAAAGTGAGTGTTACCAGCACACACCTGGCGTGCACTGCAGCCACTTTTGATGGCATCCAGCTTCTGGGGGGTGGACTTCCCGCCTCCCCAGACATACACCTCACTAGTGCGTGAAGTCACCACTGCAATGGGAGCCTCATTCATGGTACTTGACCTGCACAAGACACCCCCCAAAACACGCATGCTTTTAATAATGGGTTTGCATTCGCTATCATCACTCATTTTCCAACAGCTGTCTGTCACTTTCCCCTTCACAACCATTCATGGTTTTTATTTTCACAAACTGTTCTCTTTGTTGAGTGCTTGTGAGGCCTCAACTGCTATAGAGACACTCAGGATCAAACCTGTCTCAGAGCAGCAGAAAAAGTAGCCTCCAGGAAGCATTTTTAAAAGCCTACAGTCCAATTTTATGTCATTTAAAAAGACTGGGCTTTCACTGAATGGCCATGGACCTGTACTCATTTGTGAAAAATGAAAGCCTTACAAACGGTCATGAAATCTTGCTCAAAATACAGAAGCATCCAAAAGCTTCTAACTTCCCTCTATCCTCTTTATTTAAATTATAGACTTCCATCTGAGGGCAAAAATATAACTCTGATGCAGGTAAGAATCAATTCACAAACAGACTGCAAAATGGAAATTGTAATCAAAGCCAACTGTGAGCAAACCATGAACTGGAACAACTTCACATAAAGTGCTCAGATAGTACTTCCAAGTTTATGAACAAAAAAAGGTCAAATTCTATCTGACAAATCAACAGAAAAACAGCTATGCATGTCATGGAAGCTATCTGCTTCACAGAGCAACCCCACTTACAGGCTTACTGGGGACTGTGGAGAACCTCCGCATATATCCAGTTTTATGAAAGATATTTATATTCATTTAATATTCAACATTCAGACAGTCATATTCTTCCTGCCCAAGGGAATCTGTGTGAAAGGAGGGATCTACATTACATTCTCAGATACAGAGGCTGTAAAGACTACATCCTCAGCAGGACAGATTAGAGCTGTATAGGACCCGCTGAGGTAAGGCTCCAGCCATTCATATAAGCAGGATATAAAAGAGTAAAACGTGGGACAATAACCCTGTAACAACTATGTCATATTCCCAGCATTTAGGAATCTTCTAAACTGCACTATTCCGTTAAGGTTGTCACAGACTAACACTCTCGGCAAAGTTCCTCTCTGGGGAGCTGTTCTCTCCAGACTTCCTTTCAAGCACATGCTCAAATAATTACCTTGGTCGCTTATTTGGCCCATTAAGCAGTGTGACTTTCTCTTCCATCTCCCTGCCAAAGGAGAAAAAGCATTTTAGGAAACAGCAACATTGCCCAAAGCAATTTACTGACAAGCAACACACAGAGACTGCTTTTCTTTCCAATAAAACACTGCTCCCTCTTGGAGGAAATGTGGCAGCTGTTTACCAGCTCACAGCAATACACAGTAAGTAGGGCAGAAGTAATGTACCATATAGCTAACAAACTTCCAGGAGAGCCAAAGACAACAAACTATATATATGTACACCAGAACGTGGCCAACCAATACCCATATTGCACAAGAATGACCTTAAATGGCTAAATATTATCAGGATTTGGGCTTTTACCAGTGAATACAGCAAGACAAAACTCAAATTTTGCTGACTACCAAGTAAAAGAATCTTCGTATGAAGGACTACTTCTACTGCTCCCAGGAATTCTGGTCCACCTTTCATAAAAAGACATTATGTGCAGACTGATGGTCAAACTAAGCTAAAATGGATCACTTTCAATGCAACTGACTCTGGAAGCGGACGGCAACAAAGGGAGAAAACGCAGGTCCCTATATTGCATGAGATGTATATTTTGAAAGGTCTTTTCCATTGACTATAGGAGGATCTAAGGGTAGCCCTTCATTCAGAGATCTGAAGAGTAGGAACAAGCATTCCTCAAAGGAGCCGCAGAAGGGGGTGCCTCAAGGTTCTCAATACAACAGCTTGTATGACAAAGGATACAAAGACCTTTCTCACCGTACCCATGCACCAACAGGCACAGGGATTGATCAGAAGACAAGACTGCACTTCTCTCCTAAAGAGCATGAAGTGTACTTCAACAACTCCCTTGCATTAGGCAAAATTAACTTAAGGACTTCGCTTCAAAAGCATGAATGCCACTAGTCTGCACAAACCCTCCCGTTCTCCCTGACACCTGCCCAGGTTTCAGGCAAGACCATCTGATTACCTCCTGCGTTTGCTGAGAAGGGGATGTTCAAGCAGTTCATCTGCTGTGGGTCTCTTCTCTGGATCCTGAAAGAAGTGAGCAACAAGTCATTCTCTGGGAAATGCTGATCCTCTTGGGCCAGAAGACCTCACTGAAGCCTGCATGGACCTCCTTCCCTGACTGCCTTCAGAAGGGAAATGAATTAATTCAAATATTTGGAATGAATAGGGATAAATGCCAGGGATGCGCAGGAGGGACCTCCACGCTCTGAAGGTATCAATAATATGTTTGCTTTCAGGAAATTAATTCCTTACAGAAACCCAGAATCATGGTCAGAAAGCCAGAACCTGAGGAGACTGTGCTGAGACAATGCTCCTACCTCCGCAGCACGGCATTAGAAAATAATGGCTTCCTCCAGCCTACTAAATAACCGTCATCAGAGTAAACCCAGCACCCCTCCAGAGCCTGCAGGACTGAATGGCATCTCGAGACAATGCTTTCAGAGGACTGGAGGAAGCCCAGCCTTAGTGATGCCTCAGGCCTCACAGAAATTATCCTGCATCAACAGCCCTCATGCTGAAACAGACATGTCACTCCCCTTCACCCCTGAATTTCATGGCTTAGGCAGCAGGAAAGGGGTGTCTGAAAATTAAAAAGTATTTCACCAACCTGATCAAGGCAGGAATTCACCATCTGGATCAGCTCCCGGGAATAGACAGTGGAATCAACCTCCATGGCTCGATTTCCCTGTACTATCTTCACACAAAGGTTCAGGGGATTCTAGGCAGAAACCAGAAAACAGCTGTAAGGGAACTTAACTGCACAATGTGTCCAACAGGGAGAGATGCTACAGGTCACCATTATTTTCTTCCTCCTCCTCTGATTAGGACACATCCTTCTTCCTTGCCTAGCAGGTTCTCCAGAAACCCAATAGTAATTCCTGCAGAAATGGCACCTCTGATAGACAGGACTTGGTGGCAACATCCAGCTTTTCACCAAATTCCTTAACTGCGGAGGGAAGATAGGTTTCTCCCTGTACGGAATCTCCTGTGCAGCATATTGCCATTGAAACACCGCACAGCAGCAAAGTTACTGGGGACTCGGTAGCCATGATGAGAGGAAGTCAGAAAAGGATATTTTCACATTGTCACCCTAAGAGTTACGAAATCTTGCACCATAGCAGTTAGCAGCTTTTCCCATCTCATGGCACACGCTGGCAAATCACATATGCCAGCCAGCAACACTCCCTTTCACGTTCCCCATGCCAGCTTGACCCAGACTTTTTTCTCTTGCACCCAAACTTTGAGAAAGGGTAACAGGATTAAATCCTATGAAATACGAAGGCCAGAAGTTTTCGCTACAGAATGCTGCACAGAAAATTCACAGCTAGTAATGCGGAAAAAAAGCAAAAAGACTACACAATCACAAACTTCCTCCTTGTAGAGAAAAGGATGTTTGATTCACAGTCATGATACAAATTAGCACAGCTTATATTCTGCATCTGGTAAACCCAGGGCTGCAGACAAGGTTTGGCAGAAGCCAGAGAGGCACCTGCAGTGCATGGTAGGGGAAATCGTGCAGACATTTTCTCTGGCTACAGCTGGCACTCCCAGGCCACTGTTTTCTTAATCAGCAGATTTAAACAACAATGAAAGAAAAACATGAATTAAAGCAAGCTATGAGCCCAGTGTGAATCTCAGGTTGATAAAAAGTAAGGTTACTCAGTCCATCCTGGTTTGCGGACTTACAGTAGCATCAAAGGTCCTCTTCAGAGTAAGCAGCTCAAAGATGACACAGCCCACAGCCCAAATATCTGATTTGAAGTTGTATTTCACACCCTGGCAGAGTTCTGGTGACATGTAATATGGAGTTCCTACCAGCTAGGAAAAAAGAACATTTAAAAATCAGAAATGATTCAGCAGCCTTCAATTCAGAAGCTCTGCATCCATCATGTTCACACAGGCCCATGAGCATCACAGCTAGACACAGATCTGACACAGCACCGGAGTGACACAGATGACACCCCACCAAAGTGCTGGAGGGATGGGAACAACAAGCACGCTTCTTCCCTTCTCACCCACAGGCCTGTGCCTGAGTTTCTTAGAAGATCCTAGACACCTCTCTCCTCAGATCCTGATATGGTACATACTTCTCAATAGAGTAGTAGTGATAAGAACACAGCAAGAACTTGCCCCCCTCTTACATATACTACATTTAGAGGTAGTCAGGGGCTTACGTACTGACCAGGCATATGTAAACTTCCAAAAGAGGTCAAAGAAAAAGTAAACCCCCAAAAGAGGTCAAAGGAAAAGGGATCAAGCGAAGCTTCCAAACACAGATGCCAGCCCATGGCTATGGAGCCACTCTGTCTGATCACAAGGTACTGCCAGGACAAAGGCTACTCTGTCTCCAATGAAAGAGGCGTTACTTTTGGGTCACTAAGTAGAAAGCTGGCATGAGTCCCACATGAAAGGCTTTCACTTGAGAAGTGGGCTTTCCTGAACAACTGGTTTAAAACAAACACCACACACCACACACAAAACCCCAAACCCCAGCACTTAAATACAGAAGCCCTCCCAGCTACAACAGAAATAGTGGCATAGCTCAAAGTCAGAAGAAGGAGACGCAGAACAAACATGAGAAAAGGTGTAAGAATGAAGCTTTCAGATAAATGGAGCTCATTCCCTAGCAAGCAACTAGACAGCAAAATAAAATGAGAAAGACTGCATTTAGAAGAAGGGGAAATATTTATAATTGCTGTCTTTTCAACTCTCCCAGCAAAGCTCCAAGAACTACAAAGCTTGCCTTTCGTTAGGCTCTGCTAGTATGCTAGATACCTAATGGGCACATTCAGAATCCACTATCTCCCTTCCATTTCCCATTACAGAGCGTAACAGAGAGCTATGCAAGTCCTAGTGACGGGAAGGTTTAGAAGCCCACCTAGCTGGAGTATCATATGGAGAACTACGACACTGCACCTAAACCTTTTTTCAGCAAAGGATAATGTAAGCTTTCTGCAAGAAAGACACAGACATACTTTCTCTATCTACCTTGGTAAATGGGGAAAGAATGATAAGAAATCAGCATTTTGTAAGCAAGGCATAAACATTTTACAAAACTGTAATGTGATCGTTACAATTAAAATACTGACAATAACATGTTTTGCACTCATTTCACACAAAAAAATTACTTCCAGACCACCACTGGTCATTAGATCACAAACTGAGCAATTAGCCCAGAGCACAGCCAGCATATACAGAATGAAATATGATTGAAGGTATGTAGCTCAAAATTTTTCAGAAGGGAAAAAGGAAAAAAAAAGAAGCTCACACATGTAGATGAACACACATACAACACAGGCAAAAACAAACCTGGAAATTCATAGCGCAGACTACACTTTCTCTGAAAGCCAGAACGCCATGAAAAATGTGATGAAACAGAAGTGGTTTTGCTGCAGCCCAGCTTAGAGAGGGGTTTACACAGTAACCTTGAGCTCCCAGTTACTGTGCAACTGCAGCACTTATGTTCTGGAAGGAGGTTGGCAAGTATTTAACCACACATCCGAACAGAACACCAATAGCTTGCATTAAATCTAATAATATGGCCTGGTAAGGGGAAGTGCAAGCTGGCTTGCATCCCAAACTATAATAAAGGCCTTTAGCAGATAGAAGCTCCAGACAACGTCTCCCTTTCCAAGCCTAGTGCTCACCACAGATATTAATGGAGCTGGGAAATCCAAGCCAAGCCTTTCAGGTCCCTGCAATACAGCTTACCCTGTGTCATAACTCTAGCTGCAAAACTGCTTTCTGGAAGGATCTGGAACAAAGCCAAGCTTGACAGCCTTCTGGTAGAATTAGTCTCTCCTACAAAGCTTTGCCCCTGTCCAAGAGCATTACCAATAAACCATACACCTGGTTACCATAAGAAGCACAAGTGCCTTTCTTGCGTCTTTATAATTCAGTTCAGAGCCTGAGTATTAGATAGGAAACATACCTATGGTACAGTGGAATGTCAGGCAAGCACATCCAAGCTATCTCAGACAGCTGAGGCAAAATGCCCCTGTTAGCACAGCAGCATGACCAAGTTAATTTAACTTGCTAAGCTGGGCTTAACTAGCCCAGAGGAGAACGCTGTACCAATGTGACTATACTGCCGACTCTGTACCTTCGGATAGCACCACCTTCGTGCTACATAGGTTCACCTTTGGAAGTACCATGC